ATTTTTAGTGCTATCGTATAACTTCAAATATTATTCATTGTGCATCGGTAGTTTTAAATGATTTTATTTTCATTTGCGTCATATCATAGTCATCCAAATCAGCAGGACTGGTTGCATTAATTGGAAGAGAAAATAACCAGAAAGCTTTTTCATATTATATTTATTATGTTTTTAAGGTCCTTAATAGTATTATAAAATACTGTAAAAATCAATTTCTGAAGTTCTCTTACTATGATAATATTATTTGATGTCTTTTTAAGAATAATGCAAACTCTACACCCATTTGATTAACCTTTTGATTTACAAACACGATTCTACGCAGCCATGATGTTGTAATTGATGCAGTATGTGGTCTGGCATTGTCATGTTGGAAAATGCAAGGTCTTCCCTGAAAGAGACGACGTCTGGATGGGAGCATATGTTGTTCTAGAACTTGGATATACCTTTCAGCATTGATGGTGCCTTTCCAGATGTGTAAGCTGCCCATGCCACACGCACTCATGCAACCCCATACCATCAGAGATGCAGGCTTCTGAACTGAGCGCTGATAACAACTTGGGTTGTCCTTGTCCTCTTTAGTCCGGATGACATGGCGTCCCAGTTTTCCAAAAAGAACTTCAAATTTTGATTCGTCTGACCACAGAACAGTTTTCCACTTTGCCACAGTCCATTTTAAATGAGCCTTGGCCCAGAGAAAACGCCTGCGCTTCTGGATCATGTTTAGATATGGCTTCTTTTTTGACCTATAGAGTTTTAGCCGGCAACGGCGAATGGCACGGTGGATTGTGTTCACCGACAATGTTTTCTGGAAGTATTCCTGAGCCCATGTTGTGATTTCCATTACAGTAGCATTCCTGTATGTGATGCAGTGCCGTCTAAGGGCCCGAAGATCACGGGCATCCAGTATGGTTTTCCGGCCTTGACCCTTACGCACAGAGATTGTTCCAGATTCTCTGAATCTTTGGATGATATTATGCACTGTAGATGATGATAACTTCAAACTCTTTGCAATTTTTCTCTGAGAAACTCCTTTCTGATAATGCTCCACTATTTTTCGCCGCAGCATTGGGGGAATTGGTGATCCTCTGCCCATCTTGACTTCTGAGAGACACTGCCACTCTTAGAGGCTCTTTTTATACCCAATCATGTTGCCAATTGACCTAATAAGTTGCAAATTGGTCCTCCAGCTGTTCCTTATATGTACATTTAACTTTTCCGGCCTCTTATTGCTACCTGTCCCAACTTTTTTGGAATGTGTAGCTCTCATGAAATCCAAAATGAGCCAATATTTGGCATGACATTTCAAAATGTCTCACTTTCAACATTTGATATGTTATCTATATTCTATTGTGAATAAAATATAAGTTTATGAGATTTGTAAATTATTCCATTCCTTTTTTACTCACAATTTGTAACAGTGTCCCAACTTTTTTGGAATCGGGTTTGTAAATTGTTACTAATATAAGTTAATGTATTTTATTTATGTAATACTACCAATGTTATGTGAACTTACGTTTAGTTTTTTTACTATGTAAATAACACACATACCGTACACACAAATAACATCACAAAAGCCATAATTATTTGTATTATTTGAACTTTTTTGGAAACTCCATAGATCTAAAACGATGTATTTACAGCTTGTCCGCGGAGAGCTTTTATGTGAAGGCTGTATGGCTCTGTAAACATGAAACTCATTATTTCTCATAGTTTATTGCAGAGTATAAAGGAAATACTCATAGATACACTGCTAAAAGGTTAAATAATCGATATGATTTAAATTAAATTAACCACTGTCCACTGTCATCACTGTCCAGTTCCATGTAGGGCAGCAATACTAATCACAGTGAAATACAGAGAATACGATTTATGAGTTATGACACATAAATTCTACAATGAGGCCCCCTTTTCTAAGTTTACCTTTTAAAACAGATAAAACCATAGTGATATGCAACCAAAACCCATCTGATATTTAAGGCTTAAAATTGAATACCTGTATAATTTTGTATGTTTTTTTAAATAATGTGTAGTATTATATTATTATAATAGTTAATATAAGTAAAATATTGTCACATGTATTCTGCTTAACATTTCTATGGTAAATATGCAGCATGCTCTTAAGACTGTATTTCAGAACTCTGTTATGTGTCAGTAAATAGGAATTCAGATATCTCCGATGAAACAAACAGGTTTGTCAGTCCTGTCAATCAAGCCATTGGCCCTGAACTCATGACCTTAGCAACTGACCTAATAAAACATTTTTATGTTGAGATTCTGTAAAGATTTGACTTCCTTATGAGAAAGGATGCATAGCAGCTATTTCTCCAATTCTTGAGCTGCTCGTCCTGAGCTTGCTTCCTGTATTCTACTGTCCTGCATCTCACTGTAACAGGTATCGATGCAGCTACAGATGGGTCGTATACAAGGTCCATATCTAACTCCACCCTCAACTACAGGTGCATCTCAATAAATTAGAATATCGTGGAAAAGTTCATTTCAGTAATTCAACTCAAATTGAAGGTCACTGCTTCTTGCGGCATAAGCTCCTCCCACTTTGAGGTCTGCAGGCTACAGTGCTACATACTTTGAAAGATGAAGCGGTGTACACCGGGGGTCAAGGTAAATGGTTGATGCTGTAATTACGGAGTTTCGTTTTTTTTTTTCTTTTGCAAGCAATATTCAGTGTCCTCCACTAATACACTAGTACAGTTAGCAAATATGAGCCCAACGGACTGTGAAAAATGTCTTTACGGTTTATCCTGTTTTTTATTTAAAATAGTCACAAAAATCACACCCTCAATCACAGGTAAATAAATGAAAATAACTTAAAAACTATATTTTAAAAATATATATTTGTGCTACAATTATTGGCACTCCTTCGTTTAATAATTTGTTGAACCTCTTTTTGTAAAGATAACGGTGTCGAGTCTTCTTGAACATATGGCAAGGGAACCCATCATTCCTCCATACAGAATCTCAATCACTAAACGAACCATTTTGCTTATATTAATAAAGGATCCCAATATTGGCGGAGGGCTCTGCAGAAAAATGAGTTTTTCCCCTCCTCATGTATTTAGGGAGCTGTCTTGCATTAGTAGCGAAAAGATTAAACATTTGCATGTTATTGCGTTGCAAGCACTGTGCACTCGAATCTTGCAATTAATATGATTTGTGCGGTTTTATATTAAGCCGCTTTCAGTATGTTTTGTCCACAAGCCTAACTGCTCTTGGGTATTGAGACAAATAAATGACCATTACAGCCTGATTTGCTGGTGTATACGGCAGAAGCACATTCAATTTAAATCTGTCTTAAGCGATGTTTGTGTTCCTATTGCGGAGATATAGCTTAAAAAATCCCACACCTTGACATCAATTAAGATATTTTTCACAAAACAGATATCTCACAAGTCATTCTTTATATGTAAAAAGGAAACCCCACCCTTTACAAAACCAAACACTTCCCATCATCACATACATGTTCATTCACTCCAACAAAACACTGTAAACACAGTGAGAGAAAATATTAAAATTTCAGACATTAAGGCCGTTTCCTCTCACTCAACATATTGTACACTGTATACATTTAATTTGACATGCTACAGTAAAATGAAGTTGAATATAACCATTTTCACGTCTCTTTCGTTTTGCTGAAGAACAAAAAAGTTGAGAAATGTTCAGAGAACATGGTCTACATTACGAGTGGCTTTACTGAAAGTGTCTCTACTGAACCTCCTGATACAGGACCAAAAACAAACAACTGATAGTACAGTTCAACTTAAATTCACAGTATTATCTTGACTGAAATCAAAGCGGATTCAAGAAAAATAAACAGTGAGAATTAAAAACAAAAAAGATGCAATGAACTTGTATTCTAGAAAGGTCTGATACAGTGAGATGCTAAAAAAGAGAGGTACAAGAGACAGCAAAGCAAACATCTTATGTCCTCAAGTGTGTCCAGGTTAACTGTGACGTAAGTGCACGTATAGCATTAGCAAAGGCTGCTCCTTTGAGACAGTTCTCTCAACCAATATGTGAAAATGGTGACATCATAACTTGAAGCCAAGAGACAAGCAGTCTTTCTCTGCCGATGCAGCATATAAATGTTCTCGTCTTTCCCAGGTTTGATTCCTTAAAGGGAGCGCTTGTTTCATCTTCACAAGTGAGAAAATCCTGAGTCTATATGTCTGAGCAGCAATTCTGATGTTAAGCTCCAGGCTTTTTGTAATCGCATATATTAACTTTATATATAATTTTTTTCATGATCAAAGTTCATTTATGTACAGTGTACTAAAAAATCCATAACCTTAAAAATAAAGAAAAACAAAAGACAAAATAAAGCAACTTTAAAATTCATCTCGTGATAAAAATACAGTATGTTCTAAATGTTAAGCACCATGTCAGGAACTGTAGCTGTAGATTTTGTCTTTCACATGCTTGCATGGGTGATTTTCAGAGTCTTTATATAAGGAGAGAGGGAACGAGACAATTAGAGCTGAGCTTATTTTGTTTAAAAAATAAATAAATAAAAACTACTAAACTAAATTTCTTACCTTAGGTGTGATCAAGAAATCAGTTTCCCTTTAGTGAGGATGAGTGATTTTCTGTGAAAACCAGAGATCAGTCAGAGAGAGTTGTGCAACTACAACAACCATTAAAAAAACCTACAAAATGAGTAGGTTTATTTTTAATTACATATAATATTTTACAAATATTTAAACTTCAACATTTGTAAACATAACGTTTTTCTGAAAAATGTGGCTACTTTAGCTTAGAATCCTGTATTTTTGTGGTTGAGTTATAAAATGTAGAGAGAGTCTACTCACTTCAACATCTGAAAGGGTCCTGTGATAGACACCGTCCACATCTCCATTTCCATTTGAGAGTGTCTTTGTGCTGTTGACAGTGGTAGAGTGGTCAAAATATTTGTATTTCATGTCTTTCTCCATCCCAGTATGACAAAGATCAAGTTCATTTCCACTGTAACAGCTCAGGCCATTAGCTGGAGAAAAAAAAAAAAAAACATTTACACAAAATACATTAGTTAATTTTTTCCCCAAATGGCATTTACGTGTGAATGTATAATACTGTGCCAGGATCAAATGTATGATTGTGGATGCAAGCAAGCCTGGGGAGGTTTTGAGTAGAATCCAGATTGTAAATCTGTTGTCAATTACTGGCAAACCAGTTATGTATCAGAACATAACATCAGCTTACGGGAACATTTCAGTGTTAGCACTGCTATCTGAAAGAGACTACTAAGCTTTGACCCATGCAATGTCAAAAGTCACAAAGATAAACCATATCACTCAAAAGGCCCTGTTTATATCTTGTATATGAAACACAAATATTTTTTTTCTGTCACACAATGGAAAGAGACAGTATGGGTTATTTGTAATATTTAAATGTCAATATTTCATTCAAAAAGCACCTCAACGCCCAATTATCATTACTGCAAAATAATGCAAACTGTAAATGTTTGCATATTACTTCATATGTATACATATTTAAATTGCATTTGGTAGTGCTTATTGGAAAAAAAGTTATGGAAATGATCATTTTGGGGGGAAATGTGCTTAGCTGTCATGAAAATATCCCCACAATGCAAATTTTAATGTTAAAAATATGCTTGCTTTCTTTTTCCCATTTGATTTAAGTGTGAAAAGTGACCTAGACGAGTTCAAATGTGCAAAACAAAAGTATGCTACTGCCTGAAGCATGCATTGCTTCCACTTTGTGCTGTTCAAAAAGACATCAAGTCTAACACCGTGTCTACACACGACACGACAAAATACTATAGAACCCATTATAATTAGTGATGCTGTCTACAATGGATGCGGTGCGGCGCGACAAATCCCCAACAGTAAACTGTTGCCTCATTCTATTTATGACGTACTGCCACAAAATTCAAATGATCTGCAACGGTCGCATTGCGTCCAGTGTAGACAGACTTTAGCTGTTGCGGCGTAAGCTATTAACAATTAAGCACCTTTGTGTCCATTGAGCTGTTGCTGGTCCTCCATATGGTCTCGGTGGACATTGTGACGAGACTCAGAGATGTGGTGCTGACTTCCTCTCTCTGTACCATTCCTAGCTCTAGAATCATGCTCTTCCCGCCTCGGAGTGACGTCTCTCCTAGTGTGAGGCCTTTCCTCATCCTCTCTCCCCTTCTTTTTCTTTTTTTTCTTCTTCTTATGTCTCTTCGAGCTGCTATCCTCATTGCCCTCAGATGGGTCCTTCTCTGAGTGCCTATAAGTGGAAAGTCACAATGATTTTCAATGGTTTTAAATTCTCACCCAGTCAAATATTAAATGGTCAATGACAAATCAAATTGTCAAAGCTTTAAATGTTTTTCAAATATTAAAATGCAGTGAAGAAGTTGTTTTAATATTTTAATAAAAATAATAAAAATAATTGGCAGAATAAATAAATAAGAAATTATAACACCACTTAAAGGGTTAGTTCACCCAAAAATGAAAATTAGCCCATAAATTACTCACCCTCAAGTCATCCTAGGTGTATATGACTTTCTTCTTTCAGACGAATCCAGTCGGAGTTATATTAAAAATTGTCTTTGATCTTTCAAGCTGTTTAATGCCACTCAGCGGGTGTTGCATGCATCAGTCCAAAAGAAGTTAAATAAAAAGCGCCCATCCATTTAATAAAAAAAAGCATCTCACATGGCTCTGGGGGGTGAACAAAGGCCTCCTGTAGCGAATCGATGCATTTTTGTAAGAAAAATATCCATATTCAAAACGTAATAATCACTTTAATGTAGCTTGCGCCAACAGTTGTACATGGAAGCAACTCCAGGCGGATGACGTATGAGGTCACCGTTGCGTATGTGCCGGTGAGTCTCGTGAAAACCAACGTTTGTTTACAGGATCAGGGTGAGTAATTTATGGGCTAATTTTCATTTTTGGGTGTACTAACCCTTTAAGATTTTCTTTGCAAGAATTTAGTTTATGCTTTTCATATTTTATTATTATTATTATTAATTATAATTATTATTAGTGCATTTGATACGTTTGAATAAATCTTTAAATCCAGAGCAAAAGAAAGCAGTAGGCAAAGTATGCTACTAAAAAAAATGACTCACCTGTGCTTTTCTTTGTTTCTCTTTTTCTTTTTGGATTTCTTCACTCGGCACTCATCAGAGCTTTGTCTTGCATCAGCCGATGGACCGCGTTTCCGTTTGTAATGTCCAGGCAGTGGGCTTATAGAATGTGGAGATGAGGGTCTCACTTTAGCACCGTTCACTGTTTGTAATGTCCAGGCAGTGGGCTGATAGAATGTGGAGATGAGGGTCTCACTTTAGCACCGTTCACTGTATGGGACGTCCTTCCACAGCCACCATCCACCCCACGATGGCTGTGACTGGAATATCCATCCCGGTTATGGTGTCCAGAAGGACGATAAGCATCACTCACAAATCTCCTATCCCTACTCTGGTCACGTTCCTCTCTGGGTCTTCTTTGGGAATGGCGGTGCTCTCGACGGTGGTGTGAGAATCTGTCCCAGTGTCTCTCCCCTTCACGATCTCTGTGATGCCGGTCTCTACTGGTGGAACGCTCTCTAAAGGGATGACTCTCTCGATAGCTATGACCATAGCGGCTCCGGCTTCTTTCGTTGTATTCCCTATAGTGCTTGTATCGGTCCCTGTCTTTCACAGTTGAAAAAAAGTCTGGCCACTCTAAAACCCTATTCCGGTCCTCACTCCGTCCATCTCCAGAGCCAAACTTGCCTAAGTGTGATGGCTTTGACTCTTTGCTTTCTCCTTCACTGCACCTGAACTCCTCCTTTAACCTGCGTGGACTTATGTGACCATCACCAACATGACTGTTGTTGCCCTGAAAATCTGACATGCCAGCCACTGCATGGGTGTCATGGCTCTGAATCGACTCAGCTTTTGAAGCTGTCTGGGCATGAAGGTCAGTGTCCGTAGTCTTTGAGACCAATGAGGCATTAGATGAAGACGCAGACTGTACCTGTGAAGCAGACTGAGATGAAGAGTCTGAAGAGGGGTTTATCCTTTTTCTTGAAGGTGAGAAACATGGCTGGCCATCAGTACTTGTTGGTTTGGAGCTGTTGAATGGATAAATGAATGAATTAATGAAAAAAAAAAAAAATGTAAGATGAAAAACTTTAAATTAGAAATGCTGCCTTGGCAACTACCAGAAAAAACAGCTTAAATTGAAGTACTAAAATTACTAAAACTGAAGTAAAAACTAAACAGAAACATAAAAAAACAACATAAAAAACCCTACAATTAAAATGAGAACTGATAACAAAAATAAAAGCTAATTCAAAGTATTAATAAATACTATAATAGTAAATATTTCTAAAATAACACTTGCTACAAGTAAATTTAGGCATCACAACAGCGTACATTATGAAAAATGGATATTCACTAAGAGATCAAATGACAGTTTAATAATAAAAAAAACGCTGTGTTTGAGCGTCCCACCTTGACTGACTGTATCCAGACTTTAAGCTGAATTGCAAGTCTGAACTATTAGACGAATTAGCAATCTGTGATGAAGAATGTGGTGCACCCACAACCTGAAAAAAAGAAGAAGAACAAAACGTCAAGAGGAAAATAAGAAACAAGAGACCAAAAAATGCAGATGAGCTGAAGGCCACTGTCAAAGAAACATGGGCTTCCATACCACCTCAGCAGTGCCACAAACTGATCACCTCCATGCCACGCCGAATTGAGGCAAGTAAAAGGAGCCCCTACCAAGTATTGAGTACATGTCCAGTAAATGAACATACTTTCCAGAAGGCCAACAATTCACTAAAAATGTTTTTTTTATTGGTCTTATGAAGTATTCTAATTTGTTGAGATAGTGAATTGGTGGGTTTTTGTTAAATGGGAGCCAAAATCATCACAATTAAAAGAACCAAAGACTTAAACTACTTCAGTCTGTGTGCATTGAATTTATTTAATACACGAGTTTCACAATTTGAGTTGAATTACTGAAATACATTAACTTTTCCACGACATTCTAATTTATTGAGATGCGGCTGTATATTAGGGGATGTGCATCTCGTGACTGAGGCCGATATGACACGCATCTCGATGCATAGCCAACGATACAATACATTAAAGATACATATGAAGCAGCTACCGATGCGATGCAATACGATTCACCCCTGTTACGATGCAGTGCGATCCGATTTCGATTCGATTCGATTCAACACAATGCGATTCGATGCAATATGATGCAATGGAGAAAATATGATCACTTTTAATGCCTCAAGGCCTGTTTCATAAAACAAGTTAACCAAATAAGCCAGGCTTATTTCAGTTAGTCTGACTCATTGTCAAATGATTTGGTTCCATTAAGCAAATTTAACTTAGATCAACTTCAGTCACCGTGGCAACTTATGCTGGGAAAGCAACCTGGTCTAAAGCAGGTTAACTATCAGACTAAGCGGAGTTCCTCTAACACTGACCAATAGGAACGCTATTATTTTACTTTTTTTTTTTTACAGTTTCTAGCCAAGCAGAAAGGCTCTCTCTGGTTTTATGACAGCTGTACCTTTGCAGAACAGATAGCAGAACATTACAATCTAAAATTGCTCTTTAAAGCATTAAAATAACTAAATTAAAAGTTAAAATCACTGAATTAAAATGAAAATAAATAATAAAGAAAATTACTTCTAAACTGCTATAAGAAGCACACATTAACTCATTTGAGCTTAGCAATTAGTACTGAACTAGCTTACATTTGATTGACCCATTACAATAGTCCCTTTACAGTTACTGCAATCATAAAAATACACTTATAAGAAGGTTTAAAATACTACAAAAGGCACATTTAATGTCTAACAACAAATATTTTAG